TTTATGGTTATTGTAGGCGGTTTGGAAAATGGGGCGCTCTAATATCTCCCGTGGGTCTATACCGTCCAGCATTATATGCATATAGAGTTTTGATACTCAATACCATTTACAGTGGATGGAGAATGGGGATGCGCACCAGTATATACAACAAGGTTCAGCCGGCGCTTTAGCACGATTCCAATTGGTATGTTCTTATCCTCGGCCTCATCAATTTAATCCTGAGAACTGGAAGTGGTGTGACGCAATCGAAGGGGTGTTGTATATGCATTCGCGGAATCCTGTTGTCATCCATGGGGATCTGAAACCTGTAAGCTTTATTTCCACAGACGCACTGTCCATATTAAATGCAGAATCAAGGCAAACATTATAGTCGACGATGAAGGAAGGGGTAGAATAAGTGATTTCGGTTTGGCGAGAATAATGTCGGGTGGACAAAGGACCGGCTTGACCACAGATACAAGCCATACCGGGACTCTTCGATACCTGGCTTATGAACTGGTCAATACGGAGGGCCATATCATTCCAACCAAAGAGGGTGACGTATATGCACTGGGATGTCTGGCATTAGAGGTATGTAATAACAAAATGTTATGTCGGAATGCCTTTGTGCGCCTTGGTTCTTATTCTTCTTCCAGTTAATTTTTCTACAAGTGCCGTACGCCGAACACACAAATCCCGGAGAGATATATAAGTTGATAGGCAGCAATACCCCGCCGGCTGTTGAGGTGCCCGTGGATGGGGCACCCTCCGAACAGATCCAAGACCTCTGGACGTTTCTCCAACGGTGTTGGGACATTGATCCCAAATCTCGCCCAACTGTCCAAGACTGTCAACAGTATGTCCGTGATCACAAAGCGGAGCTGTTGACGGCGTTAGGAGATAGCTTCCAGCCCCGTTCCACCCTTGCTGCTCCCCCTGAGACCGCCACCTCCGGTAGCATATAATGACGACGCCAAGAGTCATTGACGCCCTTGAACTCATTCTTACGTCTTCAACTCTGGTTTCTTTCACGCTTTCGCTGGTCACTCTGTGACTAAACTTATGGGATTACGAATGGGCACGCTTTGCCCGTATCTAGTTTGAACAGTATCAACTCTTCTTCTCTCTATCATCCGTTCCACCTACCGCGCAGGGCCTGGCATTGGAATACTTCATGTCTTAGTCGAACGGTCTGTGTTGTCCTGATCTATCCTCCTTATATATGCCTGATTATGTAGCATTTAATGTGATAGACGTCCTTTACTTGTGTGTTTGTGTGTGTGTATGTGTGTGCAAATTGCAGTCTCATTGCTTGTCCAGTCCATTAGAAGTGCTTGTGAGAGTGACTGCCTCTTTCATGACTATATACAGATACACAATGTGCATTCCCGGTTAGAGACATTCTCCCATCCGTCGGTTGCCTCGCAGTAAACAGTCCTCGACCTTACGCGCACGCCCGTCTAACACCCACGGTCGAAAACCTGTCTTAGCGAGTCAACCGACGGATGGGAGAATGGGTTAGAGACAAAAGTCCTTGAGGAGTAGTCTATGACTTCGTTAAGATACCGGTGATTACGCTGCGGTGAACAAAAGCAAACCGTGGGGCTTACTCGACT